TTTCTGTATACTTATTATGTACGTTTTTGTGTAATTAATACATTTAGGGGGTCCGATACTTTTGTCCAGGTACTGTATATATAAAAAGGCTTAACCCGCTTCACCATCTCAATCCGTCGCCGTCGTTTACCGTACCATGCTATAGATCTTCTGCCTTCCATGCCAAGAGATGTAAAAGAGCTAGTATTATAATAATGACATGATCATATGATCATGATGCAGAGAAAAAAATGATATCGATGACAAATAATTACAATTAAAATAAATTAACATATTGTCAATGAGTTTATTTATATGCTTAACAACTACCTAGATAAAAATCAACAAACATAAAATCCAAAATTGCCTCTCCTCATCGATTCAATTTTTCCCTTCCTCCATATCTTTTTTATCCTTCAACTAGACCGAGTTACCCTCCTGTGGCCGATATTAGCGTGCCTTTACAATTAAAAAATGTTGATCTAATTTCAAAATATTTAATTGAAGAAAAAATATGATGGTTAATTATCAATTATTAACAATTAAAATCAAAAACAGTTTCAATTTGTTCATTTACTAACACTTGTAAAAACCAACATAAGCTCAATAAAGGAAAGTAAAAAGCGGTTGAGAGAAAGAAAGAAAGATGAATATAAAGATAAATATGAATATGAATGTGAATATGAATGCGAATATGATTATGAATATGAATATGAATATGAATATGAATGTAGATGTAGATGAGAATGTGAATATGAATATGAGCGTGGATGTGGGTTGGGTGTGAATGTGAATGGGAATGTGAATACGAATATGAACATGAAGATGAATATGAAGATGAAAATGAGGATGAATATGGAGATGAAAATGAGGATGAATTGAAGGTGGGGGTGAATATAGGTGGAGCAAAGGTGGAGATAGAGGTGGAGATGGTGATGAAAATGAAAGTGGCGATAAGCCCGCCTAATAATGCAAGTAGAAATAAACATATTAATATCATGAATAATTATTTTTATTTTAGAAAGATACACGTACTTTTTACTTTCTGAAACTTGCGTAAATCAAATCCACTATTACCAGATAGTATAACTCCACCTTTAATATTGCCGTATTATTATTATTATTATTATTATTATTATTTATTTATTTATTTATTTATTTATTTATTTATTTATTTATTCATTCATTCATAATACTTACTGCCATGTGGAATAAGGGAAGCCAGCCGACACATCAGTAAGTGTCTGACCATATTTATGGGCAACGTCTCGCAACTGAGTCTTAGGGAGAGGCGGCTGTTTGCAACTCTGTTGGAGACAGGCGGGAGGAGGAAGAGTTGAACCGGACGAAAACCAATTTATTGACAGTGGAGTTGGCTCTTTTACTACGCTTGACCTTTATTTATATGTATAAAGATCAATGATTAATAAATTAACACTCTCTTAGAACTTTGTAAAGGCAGAAAACTGAATATATTTAACATGTTTAAATAAAATAAAGCTGGAAAATATTATTGTTTTTTTTTTGTATGAACAAAACTTTACATATATTCCCAGGAATGACGAGTTATTTATTATTATTATAGAATATTAATTACATAATAACAGTAATAATAATAATAATAATAATAATAGCAACAATAATAAATGGAAGGTCTTGCCGTCGAAGTTTCTTGTTGAAGCTCTTGCTGAGATAAATGTTTATTTAATAAATAGGGTGAGGCGCGTGAAAGGAATAACAATTTTATCGATCATTCTGACGTAATAGTAAGTCACTTATTAAAGTTTCGCGAACAAAGTCAATTCGTTGGTTACACGAATATAGATAATATATTAAGGAAACCATCATTATTATAATAAGTTGGTGACGGTGGCAATAAATGAGAAGAGGATGTGGACTATAGTAAGACCTCAGTAGAATATTTTAGTTAATATTGGTCTATTGAGTAATGAGTCAATTTATATCTTTAATTCTTTAATTAAATATCTTTAAAAATCATCATGAAAAGTGATTTTAATTTTAAAGCAAATGCTCGGTTATATGGGAGATATAGTATTCTGTTCACCATATTGTCAATATAAATATGAACTTGCTGATTTATGACACGTAAAATCAAGATCCATCCAGTGAACTAGGGCTAGGAATTTAGACAACCAGAAATTGACCGGATAGATATCTTGATTTTTTCTAATATCCAGAAATAAGTGAAGGTCCATGATCCAGTGGTACTGAGCACCAAGTAGATTATTTATTCCTCGGCTATTCCATTTGTAAAAAAACGCAAGGATTTAGAAACATACAAATATATATTTTTAAAAATGCCCTGTTTGTTGAATGAATTCAAATAATAACGAATTCACAGCATTTTGACAAAGTTCATTCCAATTTATTTGCAAGAAAACTAATATAATAGAAAAAAGAATATTTCTGCTTTTTTTTTTTGTGGTTAGGAAATTGTTCAATCGGATATAAAGGAATCACATAAAGATCCATTGAAAAGTTAAACCAAGAAATCAATAGAACAATTATTCAATGGATTTATGCTCGGTAAAGCAATGTCAAGGAAAGCATAAGCTCTTATTTAAAGTGACTAATGATCAGAAAAGAAAAATTCAGGATCGGTATCATAGCTTCCAAAAGAATTATCTCGGAATCAGAATTCTGCCAAAGTGTCTTTACAACAGTCGGTTCATGTAATTTTTGATGACGTCACAACATTTCCACTACTAGTGATAATAAATATACAACAAATATAGTATAATTTGCTTGCGTGCTCGACATTATGCCTCTCACTAAATTCCTCATGTCTTAATTCCAATTTCTATCGATTCAGCGATCCCAGTCCAAGCCAAACAAACTTCAAGAACGGCTTACATCACTTGATAACAGCGTTATTCACTATTTTCAATTTTGATATAAAGATATAATGTATACTGTGTATATATATATATATATTGACATGTCAGTCACATATATTTAAAAGGTGGTTTAATCAAATAATTAATCATTCGTTAAAAAGCTCATCTTTTAACAGTTCTAATTATTTAATTAATCGATTTGATTAATATATTGACTAATTATTTAAATAATTATTAATTTTAATGAGAAAATTCAAAAATTTTACATTTAAAATCACTTATTACTAATAATTATTTAATATTTAAATACTATTTATTACCTTGATGCTTTTCTTATCAACCTCATCTATTTCATTAATCTTTGATTACTTCAATGCCATTTCCTTTATTAATATTATTGTTAAAGGAATCTAAGTTTAACAATTAACAATTTTAAATTAGTTAATAAAATTTAATTTACCTTCATCATAATCAATCAGAGAAGTTTCAGTCCAAATCCAAGATCTTGTTATAAACTTTTATAACTAATAATATTGTTTATATTTATACATTTTAAATGAGCTCCATGATAAATAAATTCTTTTTGCTTTCATTGTAATCAAGTATATCCGTCTTACAGTATAAACCTAAATACACCCGTCCTTTGTCAAATATTAACACTTTTAACTTGATAAAATGGTATATATTCCATAACCTGTTTTGGAAGAGACGAGAGCATTTGGCAATTTTGAATAAACTCATCAATAATTTTTATTTCCAAGTATTAAATGAACTCTTTAAATACATTTTCAAGAATATCTTGTGGATTTACAACCCTTACATTCTGTTAGTTTTCCCCGTTTACGAATTGCACCAAAAACGGCAAAACGGCCAAATGTCAACTATGACATTATTATTATTATTGTGCAAGATAACTAATTTTTTATTAATAAAAAAATGTTACAACAAAAATTTTAACTAACTTTAAATCTTTTTTCTTCTAACATAGTTGTTTATGCTCATTCATATAAAAAATATCGAAAAGCCAAAATCACAAACAAAAATTCTATATTCTTTTTTGGTAAATCATTGAGAGATGCATTTGTTTGTACGCAAACAATTTGTAACCCTCCATATTTTTCATTTTGGTCAGCCAAAGTCTGCAAAATAGTAGACGCGTTGCTTTAAAATTACATTTTATCTATCCGCGGTTTTCGTTAATAGTGTACCTTATTCATATTAACAATTTTCGTAATGAAGTACGAGTAGTTTAAAAAACCTTTTTCTATATTTCAAAGTAACGTTTTCTTCGAAAATTGTTTTAATAAAAAATAGTTGTTGCAATCTTTTTTGAATGGAATCCAACTTTAGAGTTATAATAGACAGAATACTCATTATAATAGCTTAAAAGACGCTGTTAAGAATTTTTGGAATTCCAATCTCTCAAATCTCCATCGGAAAATTTTTTTTGAAAACTAAAAATATATCGTGTAACATTCTACGTCAAAATTTGGCGTAGGTCTCTGTTTTTCACAAAGAAATCAGGAAAACAATAAAAAAACATGTCGCAAATCCCCTGTTTTTCATGTAGATTATATCCAAGTGTGTATTCTATGAAAATACTCTGATATTGTCAATAATTCACGCAGATTATGTGTATATTGTGTGGCTTAGTTTTACCAAATAAATAAAGCGCATCACCCAAGTAATAATAATAATACTAAGGCCATGCAAGAGAAGAGAATTTTTAATTGAAAAAGTCGCAAGACTCTGGAATAAAAATCGCTTCTGAAAAATAAAATGTATAATATTAAATCTATCATATTGAACTTGGGTATCAGATTTAATAAAATTTTCCTTCTACAAACATGTAAGCGCTTGTTTTCTTCTGTATAATTATCCACACGTGAAGAACTATTGACAAGTTAGAGGCTTCAAAATAAGTAAGGGTATTTGACAGTCTCTTTGATAATAATACAATCTAATAAAATCAAGTGCCATGCAACACTCTCAAATTTGATTGTATCATCGTATCTTTAGATCATCAAGTCGGATTAGCCTTTGTATCCAAGGAATATGAGAATTTTAAATATATGAGCCTCAAAGTAATTTTCAATATTTGTAAATATTGAATCATTTCCTGGTACAAGTTGCTTTTACCCTTGACGTTTCTTAAATTTAATATATAATCGTGCAAAACAAATATTGGTCAATTCTCCCACTCTCGCACTATTCAATTGCTTATAATCACGACAACAAAAGCCTTGTTATTATTGCGAACATCACTACTATAATGTATGTAAATTAAATGTTATTTTAGGCTATGTTATAAAAGAAATAAAAATAATATGTTGTCAATATTATCAATATAAGATAATAATACAAAAAAGTATCTTTGGTTATTAATAAATAACATATCTTCTTCAGAACCTAATGATATCAATCATGTTTAATTAAAGCATGAATGCATAATTCTTCCTTGTCTTAGGTCCCTCATCTAAAATTAAAATATGTATTATTTGCCAAAAATTTTTTTTCTACTGTTCTTGCTTGCTAGGGCCCCAAAATAGCAATAGTTATTTAAAAACCGATTAGAATTATAGCAACCGGATTTTATTTATTAAAAATATAAATAGCACAATTTACATATTTATCTATTTATTCATCAGTAGAACTTCTCCCATTTCAAATTTAAATCTTGGTAAACGTCCAAAAAAAACCCCAAAGTCGCATCAATCTTAAGGAAGTGTTTCCACTTGGTCATTTTTCTTGGCGAATAAAGATAACTCACCTGGTCATACTTATGCATGCTTTTTACCTAAAACCTTGGTGAATGGAATATCTTTTCATCATAAGATATTATTAAGAAAGCTTTAAAAGATCAAGGCTTACAAAACCAAATCACACAACCTCTGAACCTATTATACATAAAATTTGAATGGACTATTTCATTATCAAGTAAAGGTAAAATTGGTGATTTTTATTATTGTTCATAATTTCTTTTATTCTCAGTGTCAGATCAAAATCAATGGATGTCCCAAGGGTGGTGTCAAAAAAGAATTAATAAAACGAAAGATTGAATATGACATGATAATAAAAGTGGATTTGAATGCTTGTTGCTTTTTTTGCAATTATATTATTAGAGTAAAGGAGGAGATTCATCCACAAATTACAAGTATCCCATTTCAAATATCTACAGTATTTTGGTGTTAATAAGTTGAAAGAAACAGGCGATGTTGTTGGAGGATCTACTAACTTTTACTTTTGAAGTTGAAAACTTAAATATTTACCATAAAATGTAGGATCTAATTCTTGATTTATTTCTAATTAGCTTATTTTGATCAAAAATCAAGATATTGGTTTGTAATCACAAGAGGTTCAACTACTCTATCATTCATCTTAAAAAGGAAATTACTTAAAGACAATTGTCCGATTCAGTGAAAAAGAATAATGTAAAAAGGTGATGGATAATTTCCAAATTTTTTTTGGTTACACGTTTTATCAAAATTTTGGAAAACGAGGCGGCAGTAAACATACAAACGAGCAGGTAAGACAACTTCTTGAAGCTTACTTTTTGTCCAGGAATATGCATAAGAAAAATCAATTCACTACAAATTCAATGCTTGCAAGTCTAGAAAAGAGAGCAGAAACAGGTGGGTTGGAAGTAGATAAACACCAAAAATAAAAATTGGATTTAAGATAGAATATCAAACAAAAAAAATTTTTTTTAAGAAAAAAAAACTAGTTTTTATGAAACATGAGAATACCGGTAAAAAAAAATTGTATGTTTATTAAAAGTGGGAGTTGAAATATGGTTTGGATGAATGGCAAATTCTGAAATAATTGCAATCTTACATTCAGATAAATAACTGCAATGAATATAAAATAACCAAATGTTAATTAGCGAGATTCATATTCGTTTGTTAAATTAGCAAAATACGACTAGTGTATAAAGCAGGACTTAATTCTTTGTTAATGTTAAATTACAAAAAGTAAAAAAATTATTAATTAATTCCTTCTTAGGCGCATACAAGTAATAATAAATGATGGATACTAATTATTAATCTATTTTGTTTTTCTGCATGCATTGTTTAATCAATCAATTAATAAAATTATTAATAATTGTATAAAATTTTGGATTTGCTAACTTTAAAGATGTCGTAATAATCAAGTTTCAAGAAATCTTTTATAATCCTTTTAAATCTTTTGATTTTGTGATTCATTTCAATGCATTGTACTTTTCTTTACTCATTTATCGTCTTCCATCATATCATATTTATTTAATCATCTGCATTTGTTATATTAATTATACATTAATTAATATAGACATGATTGTTATACCATCATTATTATGTTGTCTTTATGAACGCTATTATATAACGATTAAAATTGTCATAAAGATATTACTATTATTACCAACCACAAGATATGTCACAGGAAGCGTAATTTACGCTTCCAACGTAAATCGTTTTACGTAAAAATTCGTTTGACTGCTAAATTATTGCTTTTTTTTTTATAATTTGCAAAAATAAGTCTTGCTGTTGATATATATGTATGTAGGAAGACTAGTACCTTATTAGGAATAATTAGCAACTGATGATGTCAACAGCAATGCATATCCTAAATTCAGCCGTTTTCCCTTTTCTTCCTCAAATTTGCCCCTTATAACAGAAACATGCATATAAGAAAAAAAGGGCACAAGTTAATTAACATTCCCTTAAACGGATGGATAGATGAAAACGACAGATAAACAGGGTGGATGTGAGATTTGCCTTTCTTACAAATCAGCTACGCGATGAATGTCATTTCCATGATCCTCCAACACCTTTTGAACTTTTCGTTTTGGAAACACAGAATAAGTTTTATTGTTTTCAAAGTCTCATTCATTAGCACTTGACGAATTTTATACAAGCGCGACAAACTTCCAACAAATTTCAACCCATCATCACATGTTTAAAATAAAAATTTTTCTGGACAAAGGATTCTGTTGAATTGAGCGCACTATATCACCGCCAAGTTAAGCGAATGATGTTAATGTTAATTCAAAGACGATTGTTGAAAAACGCTGTTTAGAAATGATATACGGTCGCACCTCCGTATAATAATAAGGACCCTCCATGTAAGGACATCATATATAACCTCAATATAAGAATATATATGTATTTTGGGAATGTCGTATGTGAAAATTGAAATACTTTCATCCAAGAACAACCTTTCTATAAGAACATTTTTGAGTATTAGAGGATCATACCAATAAAGGGAATTTAATTGCCTTACCCCTGTTGATGATGAGATTTAGATTTTGTGCAACAATTATAATGCATATCCTAAATTGGGTAATTTTCCAAATCTGCAGGACGCCGTAAATCACATGATTTATGGCGCTCCTCTTAATTAATTAAATTAATTAAATTAATGATACTAATTAAACCAATTAAAAAAGATCCTTAAATAATTATGGATGGATTACAAGTATTTGGAACTTCCATATATGGAAAGCGCCAAGTTCATGAGGCTATCTGCTGTCCTCGTATCCAATAAACAATAAATGATCCTAAATAATTTTCTATTTTATAAAATAATATTCTAATTTTTTTAAAAAAATCTCAAATGTCAATATCATTATTACCCATTTCCACACCTCCCCTTCCTCCTTCCACTTTTACCATATCCACAGATAACATTATCAATGAAGAAAATACACATGATGTAAAAATATATATCGGAAAAGAACCAAACATACAGTTATTTACGGCAGATTCTAAAGTTTTAAAAGCTCATTCAACATATTTTAGTATTGCTTTATCAAGTAATTGGGTAAAAAAATCTGATGAAGGTTGGATGATAATAAATTTACCTGATATTTCACCCGATATATTCAACAATATATTAAAGTAAGTACAGGGAGGGGGGTTTTTTAGAACAAAAATATTCATTCGCTTATATTTATTCACTCATTAATTCATTTTCTTATTTTAAATTCGTAGTTACTTATATAGCGGTAAAATGAATTATTACAAAGATTCATTGGATGATGTCTATAGTTGTTTAAAAAGAATAAAAGCAGCTGATGAATTAGCTTTAGACGATTATTTACAACACGAACAAAATTTTTTGATAAATTATAGATCAGAATGGATACGACTAAATTTCATTAAAGTCTACGAGCTTACTTTAGAATTACCAGCTTTAACAATTTTAAAAAATTTTTTATTAAGCTTATTATGTTATCAACCAAAATTAATGTTTAATAGTGCTAGCTACATAAAATATTTGGATCGGGATGGTTTGATTTGGTTATTGAAAAAAGATAATTTACAAATGGAAGAGATTGACATTTGGGATAATGTAATTTTATGGGGAATGATTAAATGTAAAAAAATATCATCATCGTCACTGCTGTCGACACCTTTATCATATGCTACTATTATCAAAAAGAAAATTAAAAGTTGGTCAAACAATGATTGGAATATTTTGTATGAAACATTAAAGGATATGATCCATCTAATTAGAATAAATAATATTTCAACAGAAGATTACAAACGAAAAGTTAAACCTTTTGAAAACTTGTTTTTAACCAATAACAATTCAAGTGAATTTTTATTATCATCCATAAGGAAGAATTACAGAGAAGAAGACATTAATATTTTCGACGCTACAATTAATTCTTCCAACAACGCTACTAATACTTCTAATACTTTTAATAATACTACTACATTATCACCAACACATTCAATACATATACCATCATCATATATAATAAGTCATTATAGACGAAGTGTAATAATAGATTCAACAATAATTAATATATCACATGTGGGGATAATTGCCAATTGGATAAAAGGGCATTCGTTGAAATTGGATGAACTACGTAAGATCTATGACAACCCAATACCAATACCATTCTATTTTAAACTATTAATACGTGGTAGTAGAGATGGCTTTTCATCTGAGATATTTCATAAATGGTGTGACGATTATGGTGCGCCAACATTGATAATTATCAAATTAAAGAATTCTTTACAGATAATAGGCGGGTTCAATTATTCCAGCTGGAAATCACCTTTTTTGATCTTTTCAACATTTCAACATGACAGACATGCATTTATATTTTCGCTATGCAACACATATGGGAACAAGGATAATTTTAAATTGGCCAGGCCGAAAAGAACTTTGATTAATGATGGTTGGAAAGCATTGAAGTTCAGTAGATATGCCGGTCCTTGTTTTGGTAAAAGTGATTTACAACTAAGAAGCAATAAGACTTGTTATTGTAAGCAACATGATTATGATGATTCTATCACTGATAAATTTGGTGTTTTTGAAATCGATGATTATGAAGTATTCAGGGTTGGTTTTAGCTAAATGTTTAGATAATTAATTTATTATGGATTGAGAGATTTTGAATTGAAATGTTTGAAGAATTTTTTATTTAAATAATTTCAGAAAATAATTTGTATATAGCTGTTAATAATAATAATAATAATAATAATAATAATAATAATAATAATAATAATAATAATAATCTAAATTTTTCAATAAAGAAAAAACGGAATTTTTTTGTACCAATACTAATACCACAACAAATTATCAACGAATTAAAAATTATTATAAAAATAATTTATTACTACTATGATATGCCCTCCATTCGCAATGAAATAATGAATGATGAATATGAAATATCATAATATTATATTGATTATATATGTAAATTAGCAGGCCCTCTAATTCTCATGTGATATGCCCTTAAATATGTACATCACAAAAAGAGTTTTATTTACGTTAACTATTAATACAGTAATATACAAAAACATCTAATCTTTTTAAATAATAAATTAATAAAATCAATAATATTAAAGGTTATTATTATTATTAGAATAATAATAAAAATCAATATTTTTATAATTGGTAACTTTAACAAAATCATTACTAATACTACTACTAATATTACAAACTGGAACTTTTAATTGATCACCAAATTTATTAAGCATCCATAATAGTACACCATTTGTCCATCCAAACCCTGTTTGTACTTTATATTCTATCAAAAGATAAATAATAAGTGAGATTATTATAAATTTTCTAAAGTGAAGAAGAAAAAAATAGTATAGAAAAATAGTTACCTCCACCACCACCTGGAACATTTCGAGTAAGTGTATTATATTCTAAATAATAAATGATGGATGAGGATAGATAAACAACGGTAATAAATTAAAATAGAAAAAAGTATAATGATCTAGATTTAAAAATACCCACTTTCAAAAATATGTCCGTCATCAGTAGTATTTTCTAACTTTGGTAGTAAATCTTTAATTGATCCACCAGTAATATACCAAGCACAAAATACCGAAGAAACAAATCGTTGACTTATTGAACTTGCCAAATCATAATATTTGTCAAGGCCATTGCTGCTACGATTGTTGGCATTAAAAGGATAGTATTTATCGCTCAATTGAACCAAACCTTTTACAACCACATATTCTAATGGTGGCCAACTATTTGGGAAATCCCATTGTAGACCGGAATCCATCAATGTGGATGTCAGTGAGCCTGGATATTTTCCCAATAGTTTCTTAATGTAGTCATATGATTTTAGTAGTTTGAAAGGGTTTGAACTTAGTTCAGCTGGTATTGCGCCTGCCCTATATTATTAATTAATAACAATAATGTTATTATTATCATTAATCAAAGATTCTATGAAATTATGAAATTATTGTAAGAAATATGGATATTTATGAGGTGGTGAGATTTAGATATGACAAAATCATTCATCAGATCAGACTATATAATAATGCTATTAATAATAATATTATCAACATAATCTTAGTAACATCATCAATATCTTTCTCGTCATCAAAATAATTACCAGAATGGAAAGTAGGAAGCCAAGGTAGTTACTTCAGATCTTTTATTACTTGTTAGATTAAAATCCATAAATAAATTAAGCTCATCATCCCAAAACAATTCTTTGATAGCATCTAATCTATTTCTAGCTTTCTTTCTGAATGCTAAAGACAAGCTATTATTATCATCGTCATCATCATCTTTAGCAAGCTCATCGTTTAAATCTGCCAAAGTGATTTCATTCATGTACAAAATTGAATTCAAATCCACGGGTATGATTGATTTTGTATTCAACGAACGTAAAATTGGAAAATCGGTGATATTGTTTGAATCAGTGGTTGGCTTGAGGCGATAATTATTGGCCCATCTTGAAGAAAAATCCCAACCAGTTTCTGCAGCGGCGGCAATGTTTGAGTAGAGTTCAATAATAGCCGATTCATTTAGTTTATTTTTCCTATCATCGTTATTGTTTTCTTGTAGGTGTACATTTAATAAGCTTTGTGGTTGTTGGGCGGTCACGTAGTCTTCCCAGTAACTTTCAGGTCTAGGTTGATCAGTGTAGACATTGTAATAATTTAGAGTGTATCGTTTGTTTTGATGATTGATTCCAATTGTTTTGTTGCGATGCCAGAAATTGTATTCTTTGATTAGTGTTGGCAAAGCTCTTTTTAGAAATTGTTTATCTTTTGTTGTTTCATAATATCTCTTTACCATTTGAGTTAATAATGGTGGCTGTGACCGATTCAAATAATAAATCCTTGAACCGTTTGCTATTATTATTGTAAATAGCAACAATGCATAAATTATATAGTTGTAAAATAATTTTTTTAGATTACATTACATTACATTATATTATTATATTTGTTTGACACTTACGAATAAATCCATAGGTCTCCACAAGTATTAGATAATTTTCAATCATGCCTTTGGCCAAATCATACAACTCACTAAGCAACAATCCCTCGATGATGAAATACCCGTCCCAATAATAAATTTCACGAAACCTTCCACCCGGGATAACGAATGGATTCTTCAATGGAATGAAACTTGAGACACAACCATCACACATAAATGACAAATCTACTTTTCTAACCAAAGTTTTCCATAATTTGTGAACAATTTCACCAAACGGTTTCAAATACGGGTCATGAATATTTTTTAGAAAGTCCGGCTTTGAATTTAAAGGAAATAAAGAAGAAAACGGAGAGGTGGAAGTACAATGTTTATCATCATAGTTTTCTGGACTGAGTAATTCTTGACCTTCTTTATCAAAATAAGTCGATAAAAATGATATTACATCTGATCTTGTTGGAGGATTTAGTTTGCTTTGAGTTAATAATTTTTGGACAGCTTGTAATACTTCAGCTACAGGTTTTTTCGTGGGCTGTTTGATGTCGATGCATAATACATAACACACATTAGAATGATGATGTAATAATTGAAAATTTCTCATACTAAACATTTATAGGGGGATTTACCATGTCAACAAAAGTTTTAGAGTCATCAAAAATTCTTGATAATTGAACTAATTTTAACAGCTCTCCATTACAATAAATTGTTGAATTACAACCTCCAAATTCTTCATCACCACCATCATTATAATAATTATTATTTGAAAAAAAGGATTGTTGTGTGAATTTTTGCTCACTATGGAATTTGTATTTAATGGATTCAACGAATTGAATCAACACTGCTGCTACTATTATTATTAATAGCGAAATTGATTTTCTCATAATTTCAAATTTACAAAAGTTAAATTTAAAGATGAGTGAGCGAACTTTGAAACTTTAAATTAGGTTTTTTCATGGAAAATTATTACTTATTAAAGAGAGATCCATTCATTGATTGAATCAAAACCTTATTTATTGTGTAATTTTTGTATTTCATTGTATTCTGTACACACTAATAATAAATTATAAACAAAGAACTTGTAAATTAAATAAGGTTTAATCAAAAACAATTGATTGATTGATTGAAAGATAATGATTTGACTGAAATTCAATCTTTAAATAATAAATTAAACTTGTTTGTTCCTAGTAATCCAATCATCCAATTCTCTTTTAGTGATTGGAAAACCTTTCTCGGCTCTAATAAGCATTTCATTTTTTAATCCACCATCTTCAAACAATCTGGTAATATATTGAATGTGATTCTGTTGTTGATCATTGCCTGAAATTAGTTTAAATTTTTCTAGCCAACAACGAAAGATAATCAATCAATCAATCAATTAATTATATTAAAAAGGTGAAATTGCAATCGAAATAGATTAAAACCTTGGTCAGACTCCAAGATCTTCAAATCGATTTTATCTGTGTTTGTCCAAACTATAGAATAGAAATTTTTTGGATCATTGAATACAATTTCTATGTTTTTGCATTCGTCAACTTGAATGGTTTGAATTTTCTCATGGATCTTTTTTTTTACATATAAGAAAATAAATTTAACATTTTGTCAATTGATGAATAATCAACTGATAATAGTGTTCGTTCGTTCATACTTTCAAAATGATATTATTAGACTTCCAAACATCAATTGTCGATGTAAGAATTTTAGAGTTTGCATTCAATACCAAATTATCACAATCCTCTGGTAATAGATAATAGATAAAATTAGTAAATTAATCAATCAATCAACCAACCAATTAAATCGGATCTCACCAATCATAATTTTAGTACAAGCAGAATCAATCATATATTCAATATCTTTACATGATTTCAAAAATATTGTGCTGGCTGAAGCAATTGAATCAATCTTTTTAACTTGTGAACTTTCATTAATCTAATGTTAATGTTAATGTTAATGTTAATATAAATCTCATCAATGCCATAAATTAAAAAAAAAATTTACATTTACATAAAACTTCCTATTTTTTAATAGATTTCCAACTAACATAGGAGTTGTTTGTGGTAATTCACTTTTGCTTGATTGATTTTGATTTTGATTTTCCTTTGTCATTTTTTATTTTTTTTCAAGTCTTTTTTTTTTGTCAATTTTATATCATAGAGAAAAAAACACCAAGACATTTATTATTATCATCATTACCATTATGAATTATTGTGTTATTGTTGTGCGAGTGTAATGATAATATGCATAATCTAAAATGTACTGGTTTTTGGAACTGCTCGAAATTTCTGGTGAAACAAATATTATCTAGCTTTGGCACTTGGCGAGTCTTATGTTCAAAATATTCTATTCTCCAAGACATTATTATAATTTTGCTTATCGAATTTCTTTTCTGTGCATAATAATAATAAATTAATTACTGCAAGTTGATGGTAATACAAATTCTTATTCGATTATTCCATTTATATTAATAATTCACGGCTTGACGCAATAAATTCTATACTATCGTTTTTGTTATTGTCAAGGGATTTTACTATTTTATTTCATTTAACAGGATAATATAATCTATATATTACTACTACTAAAGAAAATGAAAATGTCAATGAAATTAAATTCGATCGCATTATTAATCACAAAAATCAATTTAATCACATTTTCAAGCGCGTCTCTTGCCTTGTTCCTGCTGCATCCTTACACCCGTTCTATTTTGAATCGAATAATCTTTTCTATTTCACTTACGAGCCTTATGTTTCATATATTGAAGGATGAAATTCACAAACGAAATCAATTCAACTGATGAAATCAATGAACAATTAATATAATATTAAAATGTAAAATTACAGTATATAATAGACATACTAAACTTACTTTCTCATGAGCAATTCGTCAGTCAACGATTGAATTAAGCTGATCAAATTAATTCATGTTTGGGTCTTCTTGAACTTGATGTTGGTATAGTGTTGTTGTTTTGTGAATTCAAATATAAAAATTGAAAGAAAAAATTTTGATATAATTTTTAAATTCGTAAATATATAATACTGTCTATATTTTGATTGCAATAGCAATGTTATGCCTGATTTTCCTTTGGTTGTATAAATAAATTTATGTTTGGTCTTTCAACATTTCGATTAATTTACAAAAATAAAAAAAATTTTCTTTAAAATAGAAATTAAACTTTAGTTTAAGGAGTGGCTTCTAATTCGAACAATGAAAAAAGAATATCAAATGAAGAATGCTAATTAAAAGAAAAAAAAAACACAACTTCCATTTTTTTTTTATCTATATACATGCTTCATCAAGACCATCTCCTTCATCGAAAATATGATAAGTGGAAGCGCTCTGTACAAAAGAAATGGGAGTTTTGACAATTACAGAGTGGTCGACTGGGAAAGGCACATTGGTTTATTGTGTAGGTCGATATGTGTACGGGAATAACATATACTGTAAAAGTTCGCAAAAAATTCTCAAGGAGGAGAACCCCCAGGTGGTAGCTTTTTTTCTTTTTTTTTTTCAGATTTCCCTCATTCAAACAATTATCATTGATGATGATGATAATAAACCAGAAGATATTCATAATGTATCAAAATGTAAATAATTTGGTGCTTGTTCTTCTCACGCACTCCAACTTAAAATGATATCAAATGAAGAGCAATTAGAAATGAAATTATGTAATATCTTATTTATTATTATAATTACAACAATTAGCAATGAATAAAAATATTAAATAAAAACCATTAAGACAACTTCTCTCCTCTGCTGTACGGAAATATGTTAGAACCATAAATCTCAATAACCGACTAAAGATGGATAAATTATAAATTATTTAGGACTCATCAATTTCCTTTACCCAAAAAATAC